CTCGCGAGGCGTGGTGGCATCCTCCACCTCCTCCATCCTCCATCCTCATGCTCCATTCTCCATCCTTCATCCTCCATCCTCCGAGCCTCCATCCTCCATCCTCTTCCTCCATCCTCCATCCTCCACTCCTCCACTCCTCATCCTCCTCCTCTTCCTCCATTCCTTTTCCTTATAAATAACTCCTCCCTGAGGCATCCCGAGGCCGGTCGAATGGGCGGGCCGGGCGTTTCGCCTGAAACTTCTTCACCGCTTATGACCATGAAGCTTTCAAATTTGCAACAGTCTCACGGATGGAGGGCGGGTGGCTTTCAAAATCTGGCTCTCACCCTAGCGCCGCGAACATTCGTCTTAAAAGTTTGTAACAGCTTCTCGGATGGAGGGCGGACCGTTTGCAAAATGTGGCCCTCGCCAAATCGCCGCGCACATTCGTCACAAAAGTTCGCGACAGCTTTACTGATGGAGGGCGGGTCGTTTTCAGAATGTGGCTCTCGCCTTGACGCCGCGACATTCGTCTTAAAAATGTGCGACAGCTTTACTGATGGAGGGCGGGTCGTTTTCAAACTGTGGCTCTCGCCTTAGCGCAGCGCACAGTCGTCATGAAAGTCCCACCAGCCCTTCAGGCCGTAGGTGGTCTAGAGAGCTTTCTCTTCCAACCCCCTTATTCCCCTTCGAAGAGGGGTTCACCCCTGCCCCTTACCCCCCCCCTGGACCTGTACGGGGCGCCCCGCGAGGCGTTGGAGCGTCCAAGATGGCCCAGGACGGCTCCAAGAGCGCCCCAGAAAGCCCAAGATGACCTCCAAGATGGCTCAAGATAGCCCAAGATGCCTCAAAATGGCTCCCAAGATGCTCCAAGAGGTCCCAAGACCGCCCCAAGACGGCTCCAAGTGGCCACAGAGCTCCCCAAAGCCTCAGGAAAATCGTTGCGTTTTGCTTTCTCACAGTTTCGCGTCCGATGACCATCCGCGGCCTCAAGATGGCTCCAAGATGGCCTCAGAGGGCCCCAAGAAAGGCCCAAGAGAGCCCCAAGACTGCCCCAAGAGCGCTCAGGAGCGCTCCAAGAGCGCCCCAAGAGCGCCCCAAGAGGCGATGTTTTGGGCTCCCGAGGGGGGACCCTAATCAAAGCTCTCCTCTTGTTTGATCGATGTCTTCCAAGATGGTTCCAACAGCGCCCCGAAAGCTCCGAAGAGCGCCCAAAGAGGGCCCCAAGAGGCGCCCTGGCGGCCCCAAGAGGCGCCCAAGGGGCCTCCAAGAGGCTCCCAGGAGACCCCCAAGAAGCCTCCAGAGGATCCCCGACGCACCCAAGACGATCAAAGACTGCCCTGGGCCCGCCAAGATGCCCCCAGACGCCCCAAGAGGGCTCTAAAAGCCTTCCAAGAGACGTCCAAGGAGACTTCGACAGGCATGAAAAAGGCTTTTGGCTCGCATGTTCGCCCTTGTTCCTCCTCCTCCTCCTCCTCCTCCTCCTCCTCCTCCTCCTCCTACTCCTCCTCCTCCTCCTCCTCCTCTTCCTCATCCTTCTCCTCCTCCTCCTCATCCGTAGCCATTTTGGCTCAAGCCAGCCTCAAACCCCTTGGTCGCCATTTCTCCCGCGCATGGCCGGTCCGGAGTGTGGCGCTGCAAGGTTTGAACAGGCTTGAGAATGGCACGGGCAGGGTCGCCGCTGCATGGCGATCTTTCAACTGGAGAGCGGCGTTCGCGCGCGGAGCGTGGAGCCGCGCGGCGTGCGGCGATGGCATCCGCCGACGCCGCCGTCAAGAACTATGCGGGCCAGCTCGCGGCGCTGAAGGAGGTCCAGCGGGAGCTCGCGGAGATCTTCGGCCACCCCGAGCTGGCGGAGCGCGTGCTCGCATTGGCGCCTGCCCTCCGTGCGTGGTTGGAAGGGAGGTCGCCAAGCGGTGAGGAGAAGCTCAGGCGCAACGTCGCGTTGCACGCCGATGCTCCTGGCGCTCGCCTGGCGACGGCTTCGGTCCAGGTGCTGCGCCAGCTGGAACGCGGCCCGAGGATCGAGGCTCGCGTGGCGCGTCGGCAGGCGGCTGAGGCCGATGAGGCAGAGGTGGACGTGCCGACGGAGCTGGCGGCAGCTGGTTGCTCCCGCATGCGCTCGTCAGCCCCCGCCTTCGTGCCCATTCCGAAGGGCCTCGTCTGCACCTGCGGGACCACGGTGTTCTCCTCAGGCGCGGTCGCGGTGGTCGGCGGCCAGGTGCACGGAGCGGCGGCGGAAGGGCTCGCAGCCCAGAGGGCCCCTACGGGGGATGACTGCCCTGCCGAGGGCGCCGCGGGCGCTGCTGCTGCAGAGGCGACGGGCGCCGACGTGAGGGCCCCTACGGGGGATCACTGCCCTGCTGCAGGGGCCGCGGGAGCGTCGCTGGACGCGCAGACTGCTGCAGGCCAGTGCCCACCCCATGGGGCCTCTTACATGGGGGGCTGGGGGGGGACGGGGGCGAATGCCATTCCCCCGTCTCCTGCCCGCGTCGACCCCAGGGGGCGCACTCGCCCTGGGGGCTTGGGAACGTTTCCCATTCGGCTGGACGCCGAGCTCGAGGAGAACGAGTCCGACGCCAACGTCGTCTCGCCGTCCGCCGCCGTGGCCGACGCTGCTGCCCTGCGACCTGGTGGATCATCGAATTCAGCAGTGTGGTGGGCCGCCCGAGCGTGCATCGCCAAGGCGTGGTTGGAAGCGAAATGGTCGTCGGCCTCCACCCCCAGTCACCATCCTGTTCACAGTGTGTGCGAGAAGTCGGGGGCGAAGTTGCAGCCCGACGTGATCAGCAACAGTGCTGCGACCAGGGCGTTCGACACGGGGGGAGAGAGTTCTGAGCTCAACGATTGGGAGAACAGTGTTACTAGAGCGCGACTTGTACGAGATGCTGAGACTCTACGGGGAGGACAGGCCGCTTCTTTCCTGCCCAGCGGCTCGGCTGTGATAGATTGGGCTGACGCCACCCGAAGTAGGGAGCAGCAGGAGTGCAAGCAAATGTGAGATGAAGGGTATGTGAACGTGTATTCTGCAGCTTTGAACGGTATTTGATTTTCTTCTGTACTGTCATGCGCAGTGTTGTGTATGGTTACGGCAGGCCACTTTCGGCACATGGCAAGGGAGTTCTCACAGGACAGCGTGGGCTTCATATCCCAAGGTCCTGAGGCAGGCTGGCGCAGGTCTGGCGTTCGAGGGTGTGCTATGAGGTCGGGGCTTAGTCAGGATCGCACTCGCGATGGGTTCCACTCCACTCCACTCCACTCCTCCTCCTCCTCCGCTCCTCCTCCTCCTCCTCCCTCCTCCTCCTCCTCCTCCTCCTCCTCCTCCCTCCTCCTCCTCCTCCTCCTCATCCTCCTCTCCTCCTCCTTCTCCTCCTCCTCCTCCTCCTCCCGTCCCCGTCCCCGTCCCCGTCCCCGTCCCCCTCCTCCTCCTCCTCCTCTTCCTCCTCCTCCTCTCCTCCTCTCCTCCTCCTCATCCTCATCTCCTCCTCCCTCCTCCTCCTCCTCCTTCTCCTCCTCCTCTCCTCCTCCTCCTCCCTCCTCTCCCTCCTCCTCCTCCTCCTCCTCCTCCTCCTCCTCCTCCTCCTCCTCCTGCTTCTCATCTGGCGACTCCTTCTCCTTCTGTATCCCCTCCCTCCTCTCCTCTCCTCCTCCTCCTCCTCCTCTCCTCCTCCTCTTCCACGTCCCCCTTCTCCTTTCCTCCTCACCTCCTCCTCTCCTTGCTTCTTATATATGTCGACTCATTATCCTTCTGTATCCTCCTCCTCCTCCTCCTCCTCCTCCTCCTCCTCCTCCTCTCAATCATCATCATCATCATCATCATTCATCATCATCAGCAGCAGCAGCATCATCATCATCATCATTATCAGCAGCATCATCAACATCAGCATCATCATGACACCACCCACCACACCATCATCATCAGCATCATCATCATCATCATATCATCATCATCATCATCATCAGCAGCATCATCATCATCATCATCATCATCATCATCATCTCATCATCATCATCATCATCATCATCATCATCATCATCATCATCATCGCCATCATCATCATCATCATCATCATCATCATCATCATCATCATCATCATCATCGTCGTCATCATCATCGTCATCGTCACCATCATCATAATCATCATCATCAACAGCAGCATCATGATCATCATCATCAGCAGCAGCATCAGCATCAGCATCAGCATCATCATCATGGTCATCATCATCAGCATCAGCATCATCATCATCATCGTCATCATCATCATCGTCATCGTCACCATCATCATCATCATCAACAGCATCATCATCATCAGCAGCAGCATCAGCATCAGCATCAGCATCAGCATCATCATCATGATCATCATCATCAGCATCAGCATCATCATTATCATCAGTATCATCATCATCACCATCATCACAAACATCACCATCATCATCAACAGCATCATCGTCATCAGCATCATCGTCATCGTTATCATCAGGATCATCATCACCAGTATCACCATCATCATCATCATCATCAGCAGCATCATCATCATAATCCTCAACATCATCTGCATCATCATCGTCATCATCATCACCGTCACCATCATCATCAGCATCAGCATGGGCACCATCATCATCACAAACATCACCATCAGCATCATCATCATCATCAGCAGCATCAGCATCATCATCATCATCGTCGTCGTCGTCGTCATCATCATTATCATCATCATCATAATCAGCATCATCATCGTCAGCGGCAACATTATCATCATCATCATCATCATCATCATCAGTATCATCATCAGCAGCATCAGCATCATCATCATCATCATCATCAGTATCATCATCATCAGCAGTATCAGCATCATCAGCAGCAGCATCATCAGCAGCATCAGCATAATCGTCATCATCATGATCATCATGATCAGCATCATCATCATCATCATCATCATCAGCACCGTCACCATCATCATCAGCAGCATCATCATCGTACTCATCATCATCAGCATCATCAGCATCATCATCATTCTCGA